GATGCTGCCCAAGTGTACGAGATCAAATTAAGAACTACGGCCACTAAGCAAAAAACAAATCTGTCACAGAATATGTAAACTGCTAGGCAAGAACTTGATCATTACCGAGTTTTTAAAATTAAACACCCTGAGAATGCTGTTATCTTGAAGAGCTTCATTTAAAAAGACCAATTCTATGATTTTTTGGCTAGATTGAATTTTAAATTCGATTAGGTTAGGATTCAAATCCTTGGCAAGGAGGACACTCCTCCTCTATAAGAGACAATATCATTGATTCGAGCAGAAGAAAGCCGAAGGAGTGTTATGCTTCAAACACAACAAACCATGAACGAGTCAGCCCTAATACCAAAACCAAATCATCAAGAGAAAGGAAAAGGTAATCTAACTTAACACCCTAATAGAGAAAACTAGTGGAAGGATAACAAGGACAGTCTCTGGTGCACCTATTGCAAGAAGCCGAGGCACACAAAGGAAAAGTGTTGAAAACTGAATGGTAAGCCACCAAGTTGAGAATGGGGGAATCATGAGGGGCAACAAAGGCCTTAGGCACGTATGGTAGAGCAACCCAAAACTGAGGAAAATTTAGCAATAGGGAGATTCAACAATGAAGAAATTGAGAAGCTGTGAAACCTGCTGGGGTCTCTTGGGAAGCCTTCAGAAACTTGTTTTCTGCCTCTTACAGGTAAACCTTCATTCTCTTTTTGCATGAATGCCCCGGAAACATTATATACTAATTCTTAGATAATAGATTCTGATGCCACAAATCATGACCCCCATACTTTAACTCTTTCAAACCTATACTACATGCCCAAGTAATAGGAAAATTTTAGTGGCCAATGGCTCTTTAGCTACTGTTGCAGGATTCGGAGATATACATATCACATCTACCCTTACCCTTAAAAATGTCCTCCACACTCCGAAACTATCAACCAACCTGGTTTCCATTCAAAAACTAACCCATGATCATAAATGTTATGTCACTTTTTTCCCTTCTTATTGTGTTTTTGAGGATCAACATTCGGGGAGGAGGATTGGACTTGCTAAGTAAAAAAGCAGTCTTTACCACCTTGAATCATCAAAAAACGGTAGAAGCAATTTGTCCTTGGTTTT